TGCGCGCGGGTGGCGTCGGCTCACGGACGGGCGGCGCACAGGCGGTCGGCGCACGGGCGGGCCACTGGCGGCTCACGGGCGGCGGCTCACGGGCGGCGGCTTCGCAGACGTCGGCGCACGGGCGGCGAGGCCGCAGTGAAGGGCGGCGAGACCGCGACGTAGGGCGGCGGGGCCGCGACAGTAGAGAGGCGGCGAGGCCGCGACAGTAGGGCGGCGGGGCCGCTTAAGAAAGGGCGGCGGGGCCGCGAGAGTAGGGCACACCACGGGGCGTGTAGAACACTTAGTAGCAGCGGAAGCAGGAGTCCAGGAGCGTTACGTGCTCTGATACCATGTCAAAAGCTTAGCTAGGCTAAAGGAGCCATAGCTAGTTGAGTTCGAGTAAGTTGAGTTGAAGTGAAAAGTATCGAGAGAATGGGGTTTCACTATAGGTTCAAGGGTACAAATAGGCAAGAATGAAGAAAGGCAAATGGTACACCACCTAGCAGGAAACTAAGATAACTACACTAGGCTACTGTAGGCATTTATATGAAAGTATACAAATACATTTCAACACCTTTTTATACGACACCTATTTGTGTGTACGAGATAAGACATATGTGTCTTATAATCGAAACTGCATGTATTATCGTGAAAATTGAAATGCCGCGTACATCTTTACCCTTGCGACATGCGAATTTCACCACGTGCTGACTCACGTACTACCAAATTCGCCTCTCCAAGTATTCGGGATGACGTGGCGTCCCGAACAATGGTTGCCGAAGTGGCATCTTTGAACCATCCACCATCTTAATGAGAAACTCTTTTCAAGATGCGTGAAAATATTTCGAAGTAGTTTAAAAAAGTTTCCATTTATAAGACTTATAAGACACCCAAAACCTCCCCAAATACAAGATAACCCAAGCATTTTTTTTAGTGTATAAGATGAGACATATATGTCTTATATCCGGGCGATGACGATACTCTTTAAGCTGTCAGAATATTATCTTATGTTCTAGCCTGTAGCGGGGTGCTCTATAGCGAGTACAACCCTTCTAGGGTTTGCTACCGTCACCCCCCGGATATAAGCGCCACCCTAGGATAAGCGCCTGGCGCTTCTAATTGGCATATGGCGCTTATATCCCCTCCTCGATTATAAGCGCATACCCTAGAGTCGTACGGATTATAGCCGCATATCTGTACCTTACACGTTATAACCGCCACTTTTTTAAATATTTTTTCTCTACAAGCTTCACTACCCACATTAACAACTTATATTCTCATATAATTAACTACAAAGTCAGTTTATCTACAGTTTTTTCTAATTACAGTTCTAAATCTACCTACGAGTCTCACAGGCTACAGCAATTTCGAGATCTACGTAATCTAGTCATCAGCTGCGGTAGGATCATCCGGGTCGGCCTTAGAGTCCGACTCTGGTTCTTCTACGTTGTTGCAGAAAAAGCCATCTGCTGCAATGTCGTCGTCGATGTCTATTTCGTCGCCCTCAAGCTCGTCGCGCCTGTGTTGCAGGCAGATCTTGTCCTGGGACCCATCCAGGGCGTTACTAATGCCACAGGTGAGGAAAGCCCGTTGAATCAAGTCCCTGGGCACGGCCTTCCAAGCCGCTGATATCCACTTGAGCGTTAGCTCGGGTGGTGGCTTCTTGATGTTGCCTGCCATAAAATTTAAACAATCAAAAGTCAGCCACCGCTACAAACTGATATAGCAGCACACGCATGGCCTGCCTCTCTCACCTTTCTTTGTCAAGGTGTCGACCCCCTCGCTCTCGAACCACTCCTGGTAGAGCTGGCGAACGGATGCCTTGAAGGAGCGATTCACCGCGACGTCCAGAGGTTGAATCTCTGAGGTGCAGCCAGATGGGATAACGGCAGGGACGATGTTCAGCTCCCCGAACTTCTTCTTCACCTCCGCAGTCAGGTGCCCGCGGTACGAATCCAAGACGAGCAACGCTTTGCAGGGCCTCACTCCGAACTTGGGGTGGACGAACGGCTTCACTGCCCCGTCGAGCCACTCGATGACTCCGTCCGCGTCCATCCAACCGTTGGGATGGACGGACACCGTAACATCTGCACAGCCACAAACGCACATACAACATCAGTAGACATTGAAAAAAAAAACATGCAGCAGTGTCTTCCGTTTGAAGAAGACCCACGGCTTCAACTTCTCACCGCTGGCAGTGCAGGCGAGCATCACCGTAACTCGCTCCTTCTGATAGCCGCCGCTGCGGATAGGCACAAAGCGCAGACCCACCTCCTCGACTGTGTGTTCGGCAGGCATCTCGAGCCACAGTGGTGTCTGGTCCGCGTTTATTATCCACTGCGGGTCAATCTTGTATTGGCGGCGGGTGTGACGCACGAACTTCCAGAAATTCCTGACGTCAGTCTCGCAGTCTGGGAGTACGGGTGGGAGGGAAAGAGAGAAGACAGTATTAATGACGCGTTAAAATTCAACCGTTAAACATAAAGAGACAAACAACACAAGGCAGTACACATTAAGCTCGGGTTGTCAGATTCCAACGGCGGCGAAACCGCTCAGTCCACCGCTGCGAGCCGGACCACTTTACCTGTGGGTGCAATTCTTTCATCACCTCATGCGACCACTTCTGTAGGCGAGCGATCGAGACCGCGAGACATTTTTTACGGTGGGCAAGAAACCTCCTGTAGACTTCAGCTTCCATGTCGCGATACCACGAGCTCCTTCCGCGCCCATGAAGACGCTTGCGAGCAGCATGCGCGCCCTCCAGGTCAGCCTTCCGGGTCTTCCATTCTGCGAGTGACCTTCGGGAGATGTCGGTTTGGCGAGACTCAAGCTTGAGAATCCACTGCAGTTTCTCCTGCGATGTGTAAGAGTGCCGCTTGTGACTTGAAGGCTTGTGCCTGGGGAGGGAGGACGGGCATCGCGATTCTCGCGAGAAGGGTGGGGCCGTTTCTTATTGGGGGGGGGGAAGGCGGGAATAGGCAGGTGCTCTGGAAGACCGTCGGCAGCCCAAAACTCCACGTCATCCTCCGCACCAGTCGCGGATTCGTCCAACGCGCAATCAGCCGGGGCTCCCTAGCGTGGCGACGGTGCGGAGGAAGACGATGCGCCACCGGCGCGGTCGGGCTCGGACAGGTACGCGTCAAACGCCGAGTAGCCAGGAGGGAGGAGAAGCTGCAGGACCCCTTGACGTGGAGCACCAAACACAGGCGGGTCAGGAGGGGACGGAGGAGCTGGAGGAAACGGAGGCGCTGGGGGAGCGGGAGGTGCAGGAGGAGTTGGAGGAGTGGGAGGAACGGGAGGAGCTACTGGTTGACACGGAGGGACGGGCGCAGGGCGCGACTGCCATTGAGAGTAGTCACAGGTGTCTCGGCGGGTGTTTTCTCTGGCAGCAGGATGGCGGCGGAACAAGAAATGCGTGCCTGGATGGCCCGCCATGGCCACGGCAGGCCAAATGAACAAAGAAACTGAAGGCAAAAGTCGAGAATGAGGGCTGTATGAAGCCCTCGCCCGAGACCCCTTCATTTTCGCGGCCCGGCCTCCTCTGCGGGAAAAGGGTGGCCCCAGTCAAGATTCCCCGCAGAGGAGCTGAGCTGGGCAGCTCCTTGCCTCGGTGGCGGGGAATTTTGCTGTTGATGGGCACACTGTGGCTGAATCACGACGTGCCCACGATCGCATGCAACCCTGATTGGGCCGCTGTGATGCGAGGTACGTGTGCACTGGCATGGGCCAAGTTCACGTTCGATGAACCTGGCCTGGCTAACAAGGCGTGAAGCCACGCCTTGTTGGCCGTTTCACGCGCAATGCATGCACAGTTTCGAACGTTCTCGACCCATGTGAATCCGCCTTTGAGAATGCTTCGATTTGGTATATTTAAAAACAAATTTCAAATTTGACAAATTATAAATGCCGGCGCTTATAAATTTACTATATTATAAGCCCACCCCCTAAAAAAAAACATGTTATATTATAGCCCCCCATGGGGGTATATCCGGGGGGTGACGGTATTTGTATCCTCATTCTTGCTAGTTCAATCCTCTTTGCCTAAACTATTCTTGCCTAGCTAGGACTTTCCTAGCTATGGCTCCTGATTCTCTACTATCTTCACATAAGCTGCACCTCTTTTTCGGCTAACAGCATCGTCGTACGTGAGCAGGCCGGATTTCTCATTGATTCTTGCCAAAGCTCCGCCACCATATTAACCAGATGTGAGACCGTGGCTTTAACTCTTTTCCCCTCCATGTACGCATGTAGCCCAACACCAAGCCAGGTGAGTAGTAACTCAAAACTGCTTCCCCAAATCGTTTGTTCCAATATTAATTGAACCCCCGAGCAGTCAAACGTCAATTGGTCCCAGCAAATTTGTGTATATACACAAACATGCTGAATCAGGGACACTCAGCATAAACACATACACAGCACACTACAACAAACTCTATCCACCCATAGTCCAATTTCCCACCTACGAAACTTAACACTTCTCTCAATCCCTAAACCATTTGCAGCAATAAAGTGTACAGATGTACACCCAATACCACAATAGCTAAGAAGGCATTATTGCCAAAAAATCATACGATCTGAGACTCCTGTAGCAGCCTATCCTGTACGTGTCAAGTCAAGCATAGCAAGGCACCATTACCCTCGCCACTGTAGACGTCTCAAAAGTAATCAAGCGTAATGCTGCCGAGACGAGCCGTGAGAAACCCCCGCTGCTGCGGCTGCTGCTGCCACGCCCTGTGACATGCTCAGAGACGGCGTCAGCAGCCCCTCCTGCCTCACCATCACCTCTCCCCTTCTCCACCGCCCCCCTCCCCCTCTTCATGAGGGGCCCGCTAAGCAACCAGATCAAGCATAACACGGTCGTGACGAGCCGTGAGAAACCGCTGCTGCTGCCGAGCCCTGTGACATGGAAAGAGACAGCATCAGCAGCCCCTCCTGCCGCACCATCATCACCCTCCCGTTCGCTCCCCTCCCCGCCCACCCTCCTCTCCCCCTCTTTGTGAGGGGCCCACTAAGCAGCCACATCAAGCGTAACGTGGCCGTGAAGAGCCATGGGAAACTGCTGCTGCCGCGCCCTGTGACATGCGGAGAGATGGCATCAGCAGCCCCTCTTGCCTCACCATCACCCTCCCCTTCTCCACCGCCCCCCCCCTCCCCATGCTCCTCTCCTCCTCTTCCCCGATACCGCTCTCGCTCTCCACTCCCACGTGCTCGCCTCTTGCCTGCCGAACGGCATTTGCAATGTGACGGTCCAGCAGCTGAGTGATCTCCTCGCCCTGTGGTACAAGGGAGGGGGATGCAAGGAGTGGATTGCCTGCCGAACAGCATTGGCAATGTGACGGTCCAGCAGCTGAGTGATCTCCTCGCCCTGTGGTACAAGGGAGGGGGATGCAAGGAGTGGATTGCCTGCCGAACAGCATTGGCAATGTGACGGTCCAGCAGCTGAGTGATCTCCTCGCCCTGTGGTACAAGGGAGGGGGATGCAAGGAGTGGATTGCCTGCCGAACAGCATTGGCAATGTGACGGTCCAGCAGCTGAGTGGTCTCCTCGCCCTGTGGTACAAGGGAGGGGGATGCAAGGAGTGGATTGCCTGCCGAACAGCATTGGCAATGTGACGGTCCAGCAGCTGAGTGATCTCCTCGCCCTGTGGTACAAGGGAGGGGGATGCAAGGAGTGGATTGCCTGCCGAACAGCATTGGCAATGTGACGGTCCAGCAGCTGAGTGGTCTCCTCGCCCTGTGGTACAAGGGAGGGGGATGCAAGGAGTGGATTGCCTGCCGAACAGCATTGGCAATGTGACGGTCCAGCAGCTGAGTGATCTCCTCGCCCTGTGGTACAAGGGAGGGGGATGCAAGGAGTGGATTGCCTGCCGAACAGCATTGGCAATGTGACGGTCCAGCAGCTGAGTGGTCTCCTCGCCCTGTGGTACAAGGGAGGGGGATGCAAGGAGTGGATTGCCTGCCGAACAGCATTGGCAATGTGACGGTCCAGCAGCTGAGTGGTCTCCTCGCCCTGTGAGGAGAGATTAGAGGGAAAGGGCGCAGGGTTTGGGGGTATTGCGGAATCGCTTGACGATTGGCATTCGCGGTTTGACGGTCCAACAGCTGGGTGATCTCCTCTCCCTGTGATTCCCTCGCCCTGTGTTTCCCTAGCCCTGTGTTTCCCTCCCATCATCCATTCCCACCCACCACTCCATCCACCCCCAACCTCACTCACCCCCTTGGTGGCAAACTAGAGCGAGCAGAGCTGGCTGTGCATGAGGTGTCTTGAGTTGACCCAACAGTCACCTCGGTGTGACGGTCCTACGCTGGGCGATCTTCTCTCCCTATGATTCCCTCCCATCATCCATTCCCACCCACCACTCCATTCACCCCCAACCTCACTCACTCCTTTGGTGGCAAACTCGAGTGAGCACAGCTGGTTGCGCATGAGCAGCGAGAAGTAGACTCGCCCACACTCGTCCCAACCCACTCACACCCCACTCACCCCTTTGGTGGCGAATTCGAGTGAGCACAGCTGGTTGCGCATGAGCAGCGAGAAGTAGACTCGCCCGGGCTTGCCAGCATACTCTGCAATGTCCTTCAGCTCCGCCTCTAGCACGAGTGAATGGTCCTCCGGGTTCAGGAAGTGGAGCTGTTTGTTTGGGGAGCAGTAGAGTGGTGGAGAGAAGAGGGGAGTGCAGGGTGAGGAGGTGGCTTGCCAGCATACTCTGCAATGTCCTTCAGCTCCGCCTCTAGCACGAGTGAATGGTCCTCCGGGTCGAGGAAGTGGAGCTGTTTTGGGCAGGGGGTGGATAGAAGAGAGGGGAGTAGGAAGGTAAGGGTGTGAAGGCTTGCCTACGTACGTACTCTACACAGCACACCGACTCACCCCGTTGTGGTTGATTCCCACTTCCATCCGCTTGGGGAAGGACGCGGCAATGTCCGGGTGTGGGCGGAGGGGGAAGAACACAGACCCGCCGTGCGGGCTGTCGAGGATGATTCGCGTGAACTCACGCATCGTGCCCTCATGGTCTAGAGACCACTGCAGATGGGAACAAAGGGGGGGGAGAGGGGACAACATGCATGAGTGAGACACCATGGTTCTACACGGTTCAGTGCGGTTCAACGAGTCTAGGCGTATTGGACGGCACACGAAAGGAGGGATACGGATCGGATCACAAATGGGCGGCAGTCTTCTGGGCGGCACTGACCGTCCTGCTGGGCGGCACACTCACCAGCGTCTTGTACTGGGCGGCGATCTGCTTGGCCCACTCGTCCTCACTCATGGCTCCCGATACAATAGCCGGCACGGACTTAGTCATCAGCGCCAGCCACTCGCTGCAGGTTAAGAGGGACATGGGAGGGAGCGAGAGGAGGGGGGATGCAGATAGGGGAGTTTGGGGGCCTGTCAACCTTAGCCCACTCATCCTCGCTCATTGCACCCGATACAATAGCCGGCACGGATTTAGTCATCAGCGCCAGCCACTCGCTGTTGAAGGGAGAAGAGAGGGATGGGAGGGGAGGAAAGGAATCTCATCAGTCACGAGAAACCAGCTCTTGGTGGATAACGGCTACATTTCCGCGGGCGATTTGCAGCGCTGCGCTGCGCTGCCAACGCCACCGCGCCTTCCGCGGTGACGAGGTAGCGGCTCTCCATGTAATCGCGGCGCAATTGCACGTAACAGAGCCACCACACCCAGTAACCCAACCCAGCCCAACCCAGTCCAGCCCAGCCCAGCCCAGCCCATCCCAGTCACCCGGACAACCCAAGAGACTCACGGCGCGTCCAGCGGGTCGGGAATGACGCCAATTTCCGCGGCGATTTGGAGTGCGGCTAACACCACCGCGCCTTCCGCGGTGACGAGGTAGCGGCTCTCCATGTAGTCGCGGCGCAGCTGCACGTAGCAGAGGCGCACGAACTGGCGCTCCGCCACGTCAGCATCGGCGCGGTCGAACCAGCGCTTGCGCAGCAGCAGCTTGCAGACCACCTGCTGCCCGCGCGACTGCCCCACCTGCGCCGCGGTGCCGTAGTCGACTAGTAAGTCCGATATGTACGCGCTGCGGGGCAGCAGCACGTGCTCTGGCGTGGAGAGGGGGGAAGGATGAGAGGAAACAGGGTGGGATGAGGGAGAGCGCTTGCGCAGCAGCAGCCTGAACACCACCTGCTTGTGATGAGTCGGTTTTTAAGTCGACTCAAAAATCGAACCAGCGCTTGCGCAGCAGCAGCTTGCACACCACCTGCTGCCCGCGCGACTGCCCCACCTGCGCCGCGGTGCCGTAATCGACGAGAAGGTCCGAGATGTACGCGCTGCGGGGCAGCAGCACGTGCTCTGGCATGGGGGGAGGGCAGTGGGGGCGGGGACAGTAGGCGTGTGGGGAGAGTACGGGACAAAACAGCAGCAGCAGCGAATTCAACCGAGCAGTCTTACACGCCTTGCAAACAGATTGCCCGTTACACTCACCCACGACGGCTGGGGGGATGGCGGCGCCCTTCTTTCCGCCGGGCGCGGGAGAGGCGGAGCCGGCGGGGGCCGCGGAGCCGACGAGCGGGCGCGTGGCGCGGCTGGTGTACAAGGCGAAGGGGGAGGTGGCGGAGACCTGCAGCTTCTTACAGAGGATCTGGGGGAGCGGGGTGGAGAATAGGGGGAAGTGGGCGTGGGTGGGGAAGGGGGGAAAGGGGAAGCGGCTGATGCGCGGCTGATATGCATGGCGAAGGGAGACGTGGTGGGTCATTGTACAGAAACAGGGTGTGACCAGTTTCAGGATGTCATGGTTTCGGGTCAGTGCTAAGGCATTTCGGGATTCGGGGCTCAGAGTTTGAGGGTTTTAATGGCTCACCTTGACCGCCTCTTCGGCCGTGGTCGTCGGGCCATAATGGATATTCTCCGGCGCGTCGTTGCACATAAACACGGGGAAGGCCCGTTTCAGGGTTCGGGACTCAGGGGTTAGACTTTCAGGGATAAGGCTTTATTGGTTTCTCACCTTGACCGCCTCTTCCGCCGTGGTAGTCGGTCCATAGTGAATATTCTCCGGCGCGTCGTTGCACAGAAAGAGAGTGAAGGGAGTGGGGGAGGGGAGACGGATTTCAGAGTTAGGGGTTCGGGCTTTATTTGTTTCTCACCTTGACCGCCTCTTCCGCCGTGGTCGTCGGTCCATAGTGAATATTCTCCGGCGCGTCGTTGCACAGAAACACCGGCACCACCATCGGGGTCCCCGTTAAAAGCGCGCGAACCTCCTCCTCCCCCGGTATAGTCTCGCGCGGCCCGTGCTCCAGCCCGTGCTCGAGCGCCTTCCACGCCAGCCGCAGCGCGCCGAGGATTCCCGGGTCGCACTTGGGGTCGGCAGCGAGCGCGGTGAAATAGTCGACTAGGGGCGTCGCGACGGTGGTGGTCGGCGGGAAGATGTACGCGCAGTAGCGCATGAGCTCCCACGCCTTTATGCACGAGTCGCTGGGGAAGATTGGGGCGCGCGGGGGAGCGGGGATGCTTTAAGACGGGAATATGGGGAAGGGGGAAGACGTACTGTGCCGCATGAGCTCCCAAACCTCGATACACGAGTCCCTGGGGAACCGGGGGCGGGAAAGAGGGCGGAGCGGAGAAAGGAAGTGAGAGGGAGGGTGTGGAGGGGGAAGATGTACAGTGCCGCATGAGCTTCCCCCGCTGAGATAGTAGAAGGATGACGATGCAGAGGGGAAGGGGGCGGCGAGCGGACGAGGGGGCGGACGAGCTGTTTCTTTGCTTACCGATAATCATTCGCGCGCGTCTGCTTCTGTAACTGCAGAAATAGCTCGTCGCGAAGCAGCGGCTCTTCGCCAATCGTCTGCAGCACGCGCGCAACCAGCGCAATCTCCGCCGCCGGTGTCAGCCTCCCCGCGGGGCCTCCGCCGATGAACGTTGCGCCTCCCGCGCCGCTCGCAAGCCCCATGTAGCGCAGAATGTCCCCGAACAAGCGCGCGGCGGGCTCCTGCAGCGCGCGGTGCAGGCGGAGCATGGGATGGGGGAAGGGGTCCTGGGGAAGAGGGAAGGAGGGAGGGGGAAAGGAGAGAGAGAAAGACGCGGATTCCGGTTCCAATTCTTGGCGTCAGCAACGGGCGATACACACACGCACGGCTGGGTGGGCATGCACTTTGCAGGGGAGTGCAAGCTGTTTCGCGTCAACCAAACTTCCACTGTATATCGAATAATTCGAGAAACGCACCGGTTGGAAGGTGAGCATATCGCGGACGGTGTAGGGCTCGGCGTGCATGAGCTGCGGCGGCGACACGAGCCCAAGCATCTGGCGCTTGGCGGCGGCGGCGTTGCGCAGGCGCGCCATGGAGTGAACGAAGACGTCCACCTGGCAGCACGCGAAGAGCGCCTCGACCGCCTCGAGATTGCCGCCGGGCATGAGCCTGGTGGGGCGGACCGGGGGGGGGGGGGGGGGGGGGGGGGGGGGGGGGGGGGGACGGCGGGCGGAGGGTGGGGATGGAAGGGGGAGGGTTGCGGATCGGCGGGGACACGGGGGAAAAGGGATTTGAATTGTAAGCCTTTTGATATGAAACAACTTGGAACAACGTGTGATTGAACTGTTCCACACGCGAACGTAGTCCACGTGCAACGCCCCGGATCCCATGACTCACATGACTTCGATGAAGGCATCTTTCGCCGACTTGGCGAGGAGCGGCGACGTGCTCATGGTTGTGAGTGGTGCAGCCAAGGGATTGTGGGTGCGAGGGAATGGCAGGCGCCTGGGGGCTTTCGAGTGCGAGTGATTCGTGTGCTTCAATCACTTTTTTCCTTATAAATCAAAATTGCAGATTTCTTCGCGGCTGCAAGTACAAAGGGGGAAGCTGGAAAGGCTTCGGCGCAGCTGAAAAGGCCCTAGGCAGTTGAGACACTAGCAGAAGGATTTGCAGTCGATCTGGCAGTCCGGAGTTTAAATGGCAAGTCGTGTGTTGGGAGGGGGAGGTCTATAAGCATATTATTAAATATCGACTTGAGAATCTCTACGGAGGCGAAGGCGCTCTTTCTTGCGTGAGTGTACGATAGAACGATGAACGGATGATCCAAGCTGGTCTGGGCTGGGCCGAAAACGTCGACAGATTGTGCTATCAACCAGGCTTGATGCTGGTGGGGCAAATAGGTGAGAGAGAGCAGACCCGACCCGAAGTGCTTTGCTTGCACCTTGCAAGCGCTGGGAATGGGGCGGGTACGGGGAACGCGCGCCGCCAAGGGTGTCAAGCAAGGGTTGATGCTGGCCCGCTATTGCTGAGCCAATGGGCGGGGTGACGGGGCGCCGATGACGAGGGTCAGTCAGTAGAACATACATGAGCACATGAATTTGTGGAAGAATAGCGCAGCACTGTACTACAGAAATACGCGGCTTAGGTTTGTGGTGAAGGTGGTGGTGCGAGGCACGCATTTTGTGACATTGGCGAGGAAGAGGATGGCATTTTGAGCCGAACCGTATGGTGCAATGTGTAGCGACTCGTGATTTTATGAACGAGGCGCGGTGTGACAAAGGCTCAAAACGAGGTTGGAGATGGGCTGGGAGGCGACATCCATGCCGGAGTGACTTGTTCTGACCTCGTCCCCTCGCTATATGCACAGCCATCTGGCCGATGGAAAAACAGGAATTTCGAAAGTATCTCATTCTGGCCATTTGGGCCTTGTGGGCTTATGGTACAGATTTACGCAAGTATCTCGTTCTGAGTGTTATGCTGTATTAAGAAATCAACCTTTGTTTACTTCACCGTCCACTCATACATTTTTTTACCCCTCTCGTTATCAATTGTGATGACGTTTTGGTTTACACAACGTGAATTACAGAATTTCTAACTGATATTTTGAACTTGTGAATGCGCACAAAAAAATCTGCGGCCATGAGTAGTCGCAAGTAGGTGAGTTCCCTTCAGTTCACCACCTTCAAGGACATGAGGAGAGGAGGAAAAGCCAAGGGCCCGCAGGCCACTCACAGGTGGGAACAACTGCCGCTCCAGAGGAAGCTGCTGTGTTTGTTCCTCCGTTGCCTCCTCCTGACGACCGTCCGGCGGTCTGGTCTTCTCCTCCTCCTCAGTCTCCTCCTCCTTCTGTCCGTCGCGACTTGATCACCCGTTGTCCTCCGCGTGCTCGTCACTCGTCCCCTGTTACTGACCTCCGCACTGCCCTCCTTTGTTCGTCCCGTCATCGTTCTCCTTCTCCTGTGTCCATTCTCCCGTCTCCTCCTCCGTCCTCTCTCACAGCCCTCCCCACTCCTATCTCTGACTACTACCGCGCTGTTCGTCCTGTTGCCGCACGTGTCCTCGCCACTCTTGTCACCGGCTCTCGTTTCCCTCCGCTGTCTGCCTCGGCTCTCACTACCGCTGTCGCTGAGTTTGCTGCCGCCAGCCGCCTTGACTACGCCACTCGTGTGGTGCCAGCTCCTCCCTCCCGTACTCTGTTGGTCGGGGGTGGGTTTGCCCTTGGTTGTGACGTCCTAGAGGACAGAGAGTATGAGCTGGAGTACTGGGCAGCCGCTTCTCCCTGTGTGTGTGCCATGCTGCTCTCCCCTGAGGGAGACCTCGACGCCCTTGACATACCAACTCGTCGCACTTACCGCGAGGCAGTGTCAGGGGCGTGGGCCTCCCAGTGGAAAGCGGCTATGGACTCAGAGTTGGCGTCTTGGAGATCCACAGGCACCTACGTCGACGCAGTTCCCCCTCCCAGGGCGAACGTAGTCGATGGCATGTGGCTCTTCAAGGTGAAGCGGCCGCCTGGAGCATCGCCGGTGTTCAAGGCGCGCTACGTGGCTAGGGGCTTCAGTCAGCGTGAGGGAGTTGACTTCTTCCAGACCTTCGCCCCGACCCTGAAGATGACTACTCTTCGGGTGCTACTCCACATAGCAGCGCAGCGAGACTACGAGCTGCACTCCCTTGACTTCTCCACTGAGTTCCTCGAAGGCCGACTGCACGAGGAGATCTGGCTGCGCCGTCCTCCTGGCTTCACTGACACCTTCCCACCTGGGACCCAGTGGAGCCTGAGGCGACCAGTCTACGGTCTTTGCCAGTCACCCCGTAAGTGGCACGACACTCTTCGCTCCACGCTTCGTGACCTTGGGTTCAGCCCGTCCTCCACCGACCCGTCGCTGTTTGTTCGAGCGGGTTCTACTCCTTTCTTCATCATTGTCTACGTCGACGACTTGGTGCTTGCTACCGCAGACAGGGTAGCCCTGGCTCAGGTGAAGTCCGAACTGCAGAAGAGACACAAGTGCACTGACCTGGCTGAGCTGCAGCGCTACCTTGGCCTGCAGATCACCAGGGACAGAGCCGCTTGCACCATCACACTGACGCAGTCACACATGGTGCAGCAGGTCCTTCGGTGGTTCGACTTCCAGTTCTCCACCACACACCCCACTCCTCTTGTTGTTGACCACCGACTCACTGGCCCTTTTCCTGACGAGCTCTTTGAGCCCAGTGGTCCCTACACAGAGCTTGTGGGCTGCCTCATGTACCTGATGACTTGTACTCGGCCGGACCTCGCCTTTCCCCTCAGCATCCTCTCTCGCTTTGTTGCGACTGGGAGACACCGTCGTGTCCACTGGACAGCTACTGTGAGGGTGGCGAAGTACCTGGCGACTACATCGGGCATGGGGCTTGTGCTTGGAGGGACTCAGCCAGTGGCGTTGACTGGTTACTGCGACTCTTCCTACGCTGACGACGTGGAGACTCAGCGCTCGACTCAGGGTTACTGCTTCAGCTTGGGAGCTGGTGCTGTGTCGTGGAGGTCTACACGGTTGTCGTCTGTGGCTACTTCCAGTGTAGAGGCAGAGATCTACGCTGGTGCCATGGCGGCACAGGAGCTTCGCTGGTTGACCTTCTTGCTCGCCGACCTTGGTGAGCGGCCTCGCTCTGCATCGACCTTGTACGCTGAAAACAAGGCCATGATCCTCCTGTGTCGAGAGCCTCGACTGGAGATCAGAGTGAAGCATATTGACGTGAGGTACTTCATCCTGCGAGAGCTGCAGCGACGCGGCCAGGCACGCCTGGACTTTGTGGCCTCAGAGGCCAACACTGCAGACGTCTTCACCAAGGCCTTGGCGCTTGGTGATCACCACAGGTTCTGTGTGCAGTTGGGGCTTGTTGAGGTAGGCCCTCGGTTGCTGTAGTCTTGCTGTTTGCTCTGATACCATCTTAGAATAGGAATGCAACAGAATGGGCGAAACTAGAAAGTGTGAGAGTACAAATATGCAACCCTAACAACTGTACTCCCTATTGTGCTACTCATTGTAGCCTATAAGCATAGAATTACATTTGACACAAGTGTATACTCATAACCCACTCATAAAATGTACCCTTCCACATTCCATTTTGGGAAAATATGTCAATGGTAACTTACATGGGCAACTATATTGCGTGCTGTAATGATTTCAACGCGTTTGGTAACTCGCTAAACGCGTTTGGTAACTCGTTTAACGCGTTTGGTAACTCGCTTAACACGTTTGGTAACTCTCTTAATGCGTTTAACGCATTTGGTAACTCGCTTAACACGTTTGGTAACTCGCTTAACGCGTATGGTAACTTAACACAGGCGAGTTGTTAGAGTGAGGACCTTGGATAGGATAGGAGGTGCTTTAGTAGAGTTGGTAGTGGAAGTCTTGTAAGAACTCAGATCATAGTGAATGTAAATGACAAAGTTGATTAAACAATAGAATACAAGGAATATAAATAGTCCTAGTCTAGCCATGTACTCTAAGGGGTACATTCCCTTATTATGACTGTTTTACAGGCATTTCTACAGTGACTCTGACTGTTGCACTACTTTCTTGTTACCGAGTCGCTGCATGTAACCTGTGCGGTTACGCCTGTTGCCATTCCTCGATGGTAAGTCAAGCGTCGGTCCAGATGGTCAACAGTCGCGACAGTTGACTCTTGCGACTATTGACCTTCCTGCCCTTGATACGGGCTGATCCGATACTGCGGTTGTTGCTGCTTCGACAAAGTCAGGTGCGATACTGCTGCACCTTCGGGAATGCTAAGTAAAATTCCCTTCACACTCCAACACTCCCCTTCATTCCTGGAGGTGCGCCACGTGGCTTTTGCGAGTCACTCCGCACAGGTCCGAGCAGTACTGAAACTTCTGACGTGGCAGTTTCTTCGTGAGGAAGTCAGCTGCCATTTCGCCAGTTGGGCAGTAGATGAGCTGGACTTTCCCTTTGTCGATTTCATCCTTCACGAAGAAGTAACGCAGGGCGATGTGTTTCGTGCGTTTGACAAAGCCTGGTTTGTTTGCAATTTTGATCGCGCTCTGGTTGTCGCAAAGTAACTTAAAGGATCCGTTCATCGCCGTCTTCGTTTCCTGCAGCAGCTCCGTGAGATAGAGTCCTTCGCGAACTGCTGTGCTTGCTGCGATGAATTCTGCCTCTGCTGACGAGAGGACGATAAGTTCCTGTTTGTTGGAGTTCCAGGAGATGGTTCCTGCAGGCTCGAGCTTGAAAATGAAGCCTGTGCGGGACCTCCTGTTGTCTGCGTTCCCAGCGTTGTCAGCATCCACATAGCCGGTGAGTTGTAGTGACGCTGTTAAGTTGGCCTTGTAGGTGAGGTCGACATCAGGCGTAGAGATGAAGTACTGAAAGGCGTGGCGCAGGTTTGCTAGGTTCTCCCCTTCAGGTCGTCGCAGGTACTGGGCGAGCTGGCTGGCGATGTAGGATAAGTCCGGGCA